TTTCCGATTCTGTGAAATTGAACATTAAATAATATATACAATATATAATAATAATAATAATAATAATAATAATAATAATAATATATAAACATGAAGTTGATCCAGCAGTTTGAGCTTGAGACTTCCATGTTGGAGGTATCAAGTTCGAAATTCCTTGCCAGCGAAAGCAACATATTTGTCTTCTGGATCGAGTTCATCGCACCAGGCTTTTGCCTTTTGAGTCGAGCTCATCGCACCAGGCTTTTGCCTTTTGAGTCGAGCTCATCGCACCAGACTTGTTTAATTTTTACCAAAGTAGTTTTGAAAATTTGTCAAACACTAATTTCTTTTAAAAAGTATATTTTTACAAAAAACCTTTTGACCACAATGTCAAATAGACTTTTAAAGGAGAGTTAAATTATTTCAGAAAAAATGATAGATTGAAGTATATCAAACTCAAATAAAAGAAAAAAAGATAATGATTCAGAAAAAATGATCGACTGAAGTATATCAAACTAAAGAAAGAAAATAATGAGCAAAGTATACCCCATTGATAAGAAGAAAAGTAATGTGAAATTAAAAGAAAATTTTCATGTGTCATTGATCATTTAAAATAGGCATAAGTCATATACCGCTACCCAAAATTGTCCGCATAATTCACTTAGACACCATAACCGAGACTTATACCTATTGAACACCTAAATTGTTCAAAACATATACCTATTAGACACAAAATGCTGATATGACAAAAAAATGTGTATTGCACTTCTCTGAAGCGCGTGAAAAGACTTAAAGTCTTTTTTATTTTACTTTTTACATTTTTTCTTCTTTTATTGACACTTGACATTATAATTAACTTAAAATATATTTTCTTCTTTATTTACACTTTTTTTCAAAAAAGAAAACACCCCACTCTCGATCTATCATTGTTTTCATAATTTAGTTTACAAAACTTTCTTCATTTTAGCTCCAACACTATTTTTTTTTTCTTTTTTTTATATATAAAAAATTTCTATCTTCCAAATATGAAGATAAATGAAAATCAACTAGAAAGATTCAAATTTGAAAGAAAGTCTCCATATGATTTATTTCAAATCTCATAAAAACAAGGAACAAGTATGAAGAAGATGAAAAAAGATAAATGACTTTTACGTATCAAAATAGTTAGCCGATATTTATTTATCACAATTTTCGAACAAAGATTATTACTCAAATTCATATGTGGTCATTAAATTTATCAAAAATGATATAAAAAAATTTGAAATTAATAATTTTGGAACTATCAATTTCATTTTTTCATCTATGTAGAATTGAATAACTGCCAAACAAAATTTTCTTTCTTCTTCACTTTTAGTATGAAAAAAAAATTAATCTTGAAGTTATTTGAAAAGAATAAGATTTTGTAATTTGAGAAAGAATGTGTTTTGGGGAAGAAGATGAAGATGAAAGAGGGTTGGGTTGGGTGGGGTGGGGTAGAATAGGTTGGCATTTTCATTATTCTTTTTCTTTTTTAAAAAATTAGATATTAAATATGAGTTTTTTTTTTATAATTTTTAGGCCCAATGTCAAATATTATTTTTTAATTAGTCATGTTGTCGCGTCATCGCAAGTCTATCACACATTCTTCACATTTTTTGTTAATTATCAAAAAATATCTAATAAAAATGATTATTATATAGATAAAAGTGTTCAATTGGTACTAATATCAGTTGAAGCGTTCAAGTGAATTATGTAAAAATCTTTAAAATATTATTAAAATGTAAAGTGAATAAAAATATTGTCATAAGAAAAACAAAAATCTCGATATTATAAAGATGGCAGTAAATTGGAATAGAGCACTACTATTTACAGTGGAACTGTTTCGACAAAACCGAAAAGTTCAGTGTGAGACAAGAAGAGCGAAACATGGCCGGAGCGACGGTGAACTCTATCCCGGCGACCGGCGTTAACGCCGGAGTTGGCAGAGGAGCCAATATGACTGGCGCGTCATACGTAAATTCGTTTCGAATCTCCGCCGTAGCTGACCGATTAGCAAAGCATGTGTGTAATCAGCCCAAAATTGACCCTCAGGAGTTCGTTCACCTCTGCCTATCACTTGCAAGGTTCCATTTTTTTCCTTCTCGATCCTTATTTGGCCGGACATTATCGATATGCTACCTCTATAATTGTTATTGTTTCTCCCCCTGATTTTGTACCTGCTCTTATAGTTGTTAGGTTTTGATGTGTAGGTTTTTAGCCCTGGTTTGTTCAATTAAGTGTCAGTTTTGCTTGATTTCGCCATTTTAGATTGAATTGTTTTGTGTATCTACTCTGCTTAGCATTGATTTTTTCAACTCATCTGCCTTTGAAATTCTAGCTTTCTTTGTCTTCATCTCAACTAATTCCATGTGATACTTGCAACCTTCCATTAGGTACTAGGTCCACTAAGGCTAGGACAGATGCAAAGAAATCACTTTAGTATTTTTTTTGTTTTTGCTGAGGTTTGAAGAGAGTTCAGGGTTCTCAACCCACTTCATTGACCACTAAGCCATATCCTTGTGAGTTAAAGGCTGAAGCTCGAAAGAAAACAACCAAAAATAGAAGAAAAAGATGGAGTTCATCACTCATGCCTTTTGTATTAAGACACAAATTAGGACAATCATGTCTAAGACCAATAGCGACAAAAAGGAAAGCCATCAAAGATGTTAAATTAGGTCTTAGACCTAACTCACACCCCAAAAGCTAGCTCAAAGAAAAGAGGATTGTCCAGCCTTATAAAGAGTTCACCCATCTCATTAACTAGGATTGCCCAAGCCTTATAAAGAGTTCATCCATCTCATTACCACAGATGTGAGACTTTTGTCATTCTTTAAGACCCCATCTCATGCCCAGTGCTTAGCATTTGGTGCGTGGACAATTTTGATTTTTGGGGCCTAATATTGGGTGAAACGGGCCATGCTCTGATACCATGTTAAATTAGGTCTTAGACCTAACTCACAGCCAAAAAGCTAGCTCAAAAGAAGGAGGATTGTCCAAACCTTATAAGGAGTTCACCCATCTCATTAACCACAGATGTGAAACTTTTCTCATTCTTTATCAAAAGAGTACGGTACCGTGACCGTGGAAGAAGAACCATTGAGTCCCGCGGTTAAGAATGACTATGGAATCCCATAGAATATTGAACAATACCATTAGGTTAGACACAGTAATACTGCCGCAACATGAAGTTGGGACACAAAAAATCCTAATTTAGGGTTTAAGAAGTTAATCTGAATGAACAATTGTTATGCAAATGGGAAAAAACAGTATATGCCCGCGAAGGAAAAGGGAACACAAAGAAAATATCGTAGCTTTGAATCTTGTTAACTGGGGAACTTCATTCTTCTATTGATGTCTTCTCTGCGTTGGGCGTACTGGAACCTGGAGGTGTTAGCGCAAGATCTGGTTTGGAATGTTTTCTCAAAATTTTGAAACTACTGCTTTGACTGTCTCTTTTTTATCAAGAGCAATAATTGACCTTTAATTTTTAGATTTGATAATTTATTAAACTGAATTAGATTGGAGGGAGAAGACCAAAAATCTGAGTAAATAGATAATTGCATTTCTTGATCTGTTGTGACGAACATCACCAGTCCCATGTTTTTCTTTATATATATGAAGTGGGAAGAATCTAAGTCAAAAGTTGGATTACGAAAATGCCCCTTATCTACTAATGTATTTTCTTAAATCGTTTTAAGAAGTTACTTTTTAGTTCAAAATCAACTCCATAACTACACCTCTTCATTTTCACAACTTATATTCATTTAATCTTTATTTTTTTTTTACGACAAGGGAAACCCGCAGCCGCTACCCTTTTGGGTGCGCACAGGGTAAAACCCCGCTCCTATGCAATAGCTCGTAAACCACATAGGAGAGATAACCCGCACCAGGCAAGCCTAGTGCGACGAGCTCGACCCAAAAGGCAAACCCCTTGCTTTTGCTGGCAAGGGGTTTCGAACTTGAGACCTCCAACATGGAAGTCCCAAGCTCAAACCACTGGGCCACCCCTAAGGGTACTTTTCATATTCTTTAACCTTCTATAAAATCAATAGTTTTAGACTTTTAGCCTTTTTGCCATTGTCAAATTATTATATGCTTCCTTTTTAAAAATATCCAATATTTGGTGTATTCTTAGCACTTTCAACAACAAAGGTATATCCTTTTTATATTATTAGTTTCTTGGACCTTTGTTTAGCTCTTAATAATTTTTGTTCTTTGTTATTCATTGCTTGCATTTTCCATCTTCAGTCTTTGTTTTATGGGAAAAGGGTCAAAAATACCCCTCAACTTTGTTTTATTGGTTAACTATGCCCTTACCATTAAAGTGAAGTTAATTTTGCCCCTGTCGTTATTAATTTCACCATATACACCCCTCACTTGACGGAAAGCCCTAAATCAACTTAAATTAACCCGAATCTTAAGAAATGACCCGTTATCCATTTTTAAAACCCATGCCCGACCCTTTTAATACTCAACCCAAGAGGTAAGTTTGAAGAGGAAACAATCTAAAAAATCAACAAAAAGCAAATATTCTTGCAATTTCTCATTTTGGATGAACAAAGGAAAAATAGTGGAGAAGAAACAATAACTTCAGCCCACACAAATTCATTGGATTTATGGACTCTCCAGCAAGAAAAGGAGTAAACGTCCCTTTACCCATTCCACTTGGACAGTTGGACTTAATCATTCATCACTACAAGCTTCTCTATGAGAAAATGGAAATTAATGAATGCAAAAGTGGTTTTCAGCGGGCAGCTTCTTTTTCAACTTCTTCTTTGTTGGCTTATTGAAATTCGTGTGCATCTGTAAAATCATCGGAAGAGAGCTAAAACAGTGTTCATAGGCAGCTTCGATCTTGACTCCACTGTTCGTTCCTCTAACGACACCGTTTCTGGCACTTTAAACGTGTATGCCATTGTTGCTCATCACTGTTCACTTCTGGTTCAGCTTCAAACACACACAAAAGAACCTGAGATCTCTCCATAATGTTTTTCGATGATTAATTGTTTTGATTTCATTCAAAACTTATAATCTTTTTCATATATAAGCATTATTGGATTAAAGAGGGAACTAAAAGGGGGGGGGGGGGAATGGGTGGATCTCTTTATATAATGTTGGGTCCTTTTTACACGGATACACTCTTTGGTGAAAACTCATCTCGATATATTCATCAAGAACAACAAAGTGAAAATCTCATTGTTGATTATAACTCATTTCTTCAGATGTGTGCACAAGTTGTTGAGTGCACAAGTTGTTGAGAGAAGTGGGGGGTTTGTTGTTAATTGTTCTTTGGTATTGTGGGTCGGTTTGCGTTAGGGTCAAAATAGATAATTGGATAATTTAAGTTGAAATCGGGTTAATTTAAGTTGATTTGGGGCTTTCCGTCAAATGGGGGTATATATGGTGAAATTAGTAACTGTAGGGGCAAAACTAACTTTACTTTAACGGTAAAGGTATATTCAACCAATTAAATAAAGTTGAGGGGTACTTTTGACCCTTTTCCCTTGTTTTATATTATGCGGCTTATTTTGCTCGGTCATTTTTTTGGAATTCTCACATCTGCTCAATCTCTTTATTCCCTTTTCTATTATTTTTAATAAGTTGTACTAGTTAGCATAGAATAGACATGCAATGCACATGTTCGAGAAGTAGTGTGTGTATGTATATATATAGACACACACACATGGATAGATAGTTAGCTTGTTATCTGCAAGAGCAACACATTCATCATGCAAAATAGTTTTATTTCCTCCATCTTTCAAAATCCTGCTGTTAAATTGGGAATATGAGTTCCACATTTATCAAAAAAAAAAAAGAAGGATTGCGAGTCTTTCTCTTTCTTGTTCATGGTGTCAAATTAGCTAGGGAAGTGGTAGTGGTGATTCTTAACTCATTTTCTTTTCTGTATTCTTTCCCTTTCTAGAGTGCCGAAAAGGGACACGTAGTCTATGTTTCTTTATCATGTTAATGTTCTTGGTTGACTGATTTTTGATTAATGCAGAGGCATTGATTTTGCCATTGCAAACCGGGAGGTTCCAAATAGAGCTCAAGATTTACCTTTATTGGTGAAACAGGTACTCCTGTAACACGAAGTTGATTTCATCATATTACATTACCGTCATTGATATGATATACATGCAGTATTGCCCTTCCTATCATGTTCTTGCTCCAAGGGCATCTCCAACTCTATTCGCTATTTTAATCCTCCAACCCTATTCTCTATTTTACTCTCCAATTATGTAGTTTTTTATATTTGTAAATAACCAACTCCAACCCAATTCATTATTTAACTCTTTAAAAAAGAATCTGTGTATTTCCTCAATATTATATTATTATTTCTATTTCATTTTTATTTCTTTTTTTCAGCATATAAATCCTTTCTTATTCTTTTTTCAAATAATCACCCAATATAACCTTCATGTAATATAAAATTTTATTCCTTTCAATTTTTTTTTATTATAAAATTAGATTTTCTTCTAAATTTCTAAATTACATAAATTGCAAGCAAATATTATATATTGTACATATTAATGGACAATTCAAGCAAAAGTGTGATCATTTATGAAATATAATTACATAAACATTTTATAAACATTCAACTTTCAAGAGCATTCGGTGCTCTCGTAAATGCTTTATTAATGCATTACAGGTTTCAAAATGAGCATTTTTTAAATCATTAACTAATATTTCCCCAAACATTGGTGAATCTGGAAACGTCCTACTAGATTACTAAATTATTGTTGTAATTTTTAATATTATTATGTTATTTATTGTAATGATGTCTTGTATTTAAATTATTATGTTATGTATTGTATTTTAAGTGAAAAATTTCATCGTATCATTCAAATTTTGTGCATTCTTCGTAGTAAAAAAAATATTTTTGAATTATATTTTAATTGACAAATTTTTCTTTTTTAAAAAATTGGAAATATTATTAGTTTGGGATGGAAGTAGTATATATTAAATATTTTTTAAAATGTTATATTACATTAAAAAATAATTATGAATATTAAGAATTTAATTAATGGTCTTGTATCATTTATGATATGTTAATTACAAAGATCATAATATAAATAATAATATAATAGTCAAAAAGTGAAATAGAGAGGAAGAATTGTAGTTCTCTAAATTTGAAGAACTACTATTCAGCTCTCTATGAATGGAGGGTAGATAGTAAAATAGAGAGTGGTTGGAGAGTCCATTCTCTATTTACTCTCCAAATATAGAGAATAGAGAGTAAAATAGAGGTGGATTGAGAATGGTCTGAATCTATTAATGTTCTAATTGAGCTGTGGATTGCTATTGGTTGACGGATTGCAATCCATGTGATCTTTATAGTTCGCTTATGAAAAGAATGTGTACTGTTTAATCTGTATTATATGAATTTGCTTATATAAGGTCATAGTTTCCTATCTGTAATGATATACCTTTTTATCAAATGAATAACTGAAGCTTAAGTTCTTTTTTCTTCTTCTAAATTCATGGCATTGTGTAGGTATGCAGAATCCCCTGTGATACATTACTGCTAGCACATGTCATGGTCCTTATGATTTCTGTCAAGGTAATTCCTGGACACTTGACTTTATGGGATAATTTTGAACGAATGCATGTTATGCTGGCTTCCGCAATCACAAACGTTGCAAGGGATGTTTCAGCTTTCATTTCTGCAAAAAATAGATTACCAAGTCAAGTTATCTGGTTGTTTTATTGATATAATATTCATGGATGTTAGATTAAGAGGTCAAATTTAATTTGGTTAAAAGATTCGACTAGAAATGATCACGTTAGAGACAGAGAGGTGTAGCATTATAGAGGATAAAATGAGAGAATGTTGCTTGAGATGGTTTGACCATGTGTTGTGTAGATGGCAAAAGACCCTAGGTATGATACCATGTAGATTTCTAAATGTTACCTTCTCAAAAAAAAAATAAAACTGAATGTGCTAAAAAGGGATGAGGTAGATGCAAAATTGCATGAAAATAAATTATATAAAAAGATGGTAGTCTTTCTGTCTTTAATAAAGGAAGTTTTATTAGTAACATTCAAGACCAAGCTAGTATTGAATTGGAACAATCATTGCAGCAAAGAAAATCCTTTTAAACCTGCAAGGATTCCAGAAAGTCTAAACATACATCTGATTTAGTTCAAAAAACAACATTACACTACTTAAATATTGAATACAATACATCTGCTTGGAACTGAATAAATGTTTTCCTGCTTTCCATTAAAGCATCTTCATTTCCTGGCGAGCCAAATTTTCCATGTTATGGATGCTGGGATAATCATCCATATCTTCTATTGTTGCTTCCTCATTCTCTGACTTCTCCAACTAGAGAGAACTTGTCTGATGTTTGCTGCCATAGCCAATTGAACCCCGCATAAGTTAAGAAACATGCACCAGATCTGCAAGACTGTTGCCTCCTCAAAATTTCTTGGAGCCTTCACAATTTCCTCCGGAGCACCAAGGGGAATCTCCTTTTTGCTATTTCCACCTTCTTGCTCCATTTTTCTCCAAACCCTCAATTTCTGGTTCAAATTGCTATCACTACTTGGATTTAGCTAAAATAGAATACAATGGAACGAAAGAGATCCATATACTACCTGTGTATTAGTTTTTATTTGTTTTTTCTTGGATTAAGGTTTGTTGTTGTTCATACACTTATATTAAGGGCTCGTTTGGGCTTTACCAATTTTGCTTTTTCAATTTCCCCCCCAAAAACATTGGATATACATTGTGATCAATTGTTTTACTCCAACTTGGAAGTTGAGTTTATCAAGTATCATTTTTCAAGTAAAGTTTTGCCCTCACAAAACTTCACCATTTTGAAATGCATGTCTAGACACAACTTCAAATAATACATTTTCTAAAAATATTACCAAAATTATGTCGAAACGTGTCTACTAAGTCTGGTAAGGGTAAGTGTAGATGTAGAGAACCTCTAATTTTTAAGAACCCTAATTTGCTATAAAACACAATTTACTTGCATATTTCGGAATGAAATGGGCCCAAATAGAGGAATTACAGTAAGTGCTAAGAAGCTTCGATTCATATTAGTTATTACCAAACCCAACTTGTTTAGTATTGAGCTTTAGTTGATTTGTTGGTCGGATGAAAGAGTTCCATCTCTAATGAAATTCTCCCGTCCATTGGCTCGAGTTGTTCTATTTTCCACTATTGAGAATGACATAACCTGCGAAGTACTTAGCCTAGGGCGGTGCTCTTTTTTATTAAAGTATATGGTGTTTTACAGGATATACTTAAGCTTACTGATTACCACTTTGCATGCATTAAATATTCTTGTTATTGGCACTTCGTGCAATTTCTTTATTGACCAGGTTTTTTATTTGATAGAATGCTTGTCATAGTGGGTGGTTTACAGAGAAAGATGCCAAGGAACTTTGTGATCTTGCCAATGAGGTAGATAACTTGCTGGTTTGCTGTCTTTTAGCTATCTTGTTTCTTTTAATTGATGTTACATTGATTTTTCTTCCTTTTCTGTTTACGTGGTCAGATATACAGCAGCTTCTGCACCACATTAGATTTTAACACTGAACCAAGCAATTCTTCGACAATTATCTCGACGATAATGTCTAGGTAGGCACCTTTTCCTGCAGTGAAATCTTAATTTTTTGATCTTTCATTCTATGGTGTATGGGTCAACTTACCTCAGATTAATATTTGCTTTATATACCAAAGATTAGTTTTCGTAAGAACATTTGTGGTTTAATTGTACAGGTGTTCAAAAGTCTTGCCGCCACAGTATCTTGTATTTCTTCCCTTTCTTATTGGTTGTTTATTACTGCTACTCACAGTATCGTTTTGCCAATTCATTTAAGTAAAATATCGTAACACTGAATGCTAATGCCCAACATGTGAAAGTAAACAAATCTCATTCTTTCCGTAAAGGAAAAGGGTGTTCTGTTAAGACCGTAGAGGTTGTATTTTTTAGTAAAACTAAAAATTTCATGCAAGAGGAGTTGTTTCTTTTTTTTTTTTTTTTAAAAAAAAGATAAAAAATAATGAAGTGATTTTTGACCCTTGGGTCAGATTTTATAGATTGAGAGCAAAAGTTAAAAACATCTGTCCGACCCAAAAGAAACGTCCCAATCCAAAAATAAAAAAGCACAAGCATAAAAGAGGGATTGTCTGGAAGATCTAAGGACATAAGCTTTTATCCTGTTTGAATAATTACATTTTCTCCCTTCTAATATTTTTCAGTTACCTTTTTTGGAATTTTTTGTTCCTATATCTGGAAGAGGTCTAGAAGTCTAGTTTGTTTGAATGACATGAAAAGGGCTACCATTACCTTTTCAATCGTGGAGATGTTGTACAGTGTACTGATGGGAAAAATTAATTTTGGTTGCAAGGTTCATTCTGAGAATTGCAGATTGCTTTCAGCAACTCTCCTGCTTAAGTTTATTTTGTCTATTTTATGAAAATCTTTATTTCTTATATCTCAACTAGGATGTACCCAGTTCCTTCTTCATTTATTTGCCTATTGAGATCTGTGTTGCTCGGATTCTCGAAAGAGGATGGCACACCCGTGTTGCATGACTCGGATCCTTAAAAAAATGCCACTACTTCTAAAGTATCTAGCGTCACTGTGTCGATGGTGGTCATGTTGATGTTTTCACTGATCACAAGAGTCTGCAATATGTCGTCAAGTAGAAAGAGTTGGAACCTTGGTTAGAGAAGATGTATTGAGTTACTCAAAACATAGATTGAGATCTTATACCTTTTATTAGTCTCGAAGCCCCAATCTGGTTGTTAAAATACTTTAGTTGTTGTTATGGTACCGGTCTGCATAATGTTGCCCGCTTGTGAGTTATGTCAACTATCCTATGAACTAGCTGACCTTGTAATGAGCTAAAATGATTGGGCTTGAAATATGACCTAAGAAATTTGAAGGAATTGATTGTGAGTTTTGACTGTATATCCGTCCCGGAAGGGTAGGAAAATAGAAAGAGAAAATGAGTTCTGAGAGTCCTAGAGGTGTTGAAAGCTATTTTATTATATTAGCAAGCGACTGAAAAGAGTGCAAATTCATTAACTCATTCAACAATAATCCTAATGTGTATGCAGAACTACCTCGAGGAGGAAAAGAGGCTGTGTCCAGAAGATCCGTGGCTTGAGTAACGAACATTAGAGTAGCTAACAACGTCATAACCGATTCCCTGTCTCTTGAATCATTGACCTAAGATACTTGAAACCTCATCTCTTGGTATGGCTTACATCTCGACTTTCATTCCATCTCCGCCTCATCCATTACGTCACTGAACTGGCGCTCCAGATACTCTGTTTAGTCATGCTTAACCTGAAACCTTTGGTCTTCGAGGTTTGTCTCCAAACTTCCAATCTATCTTCATGTCACGACCCAAAGTACATCCTAGATATGACATGACAAATAGTGGTAGTCAATAAATAGTAAAAGATAATTCAGAAAGTTCCTATATTTCTGTTTTAACTTTAGTAATTGTCTGATAGAATGGCTTGAGAATTTTTACTGTTGGATAACACCACTAAGTTATAGTTTACTTGTATT